CGAACGACGGATACCCTGACACCACCCCCGGTAGATTTCGACAAATTAGCCGAGATGGAGAGCTCGGAACTGAGCCAACTGATCCATGCATATATCACCGAAAACGAGGCGTTACGTCGTGAAATGCGGAGCTTTATGCTACGCGCGAGCAAGTGATACGGGACCAGGAACTCGTTTGCGGGAAAACGAGAGGCTACTCAGAAAGCTGGAGGACGTAAACTCGTAAGTCTGTTTTAAGAAACATCCGCGCAATATGAGGCACAAGCAAAGTGCAAACAAATAATTGAAATATGTTGTTTCTCATTTTTTATCGATTTTTAAACGTTTATGTATGTTTACGTACATTGAAAAAATGTTGTTAACTTAAATTGACTAAATCGTTCAACTAAATATTATTTTGTTAATTGAACATATAGAAATATTTAAATTAAATATAATATAAAATCTAATAAACGTATACTATATTTAACTTAAATGCTAATATATGTTCAATTAACAAATAATAATTTAGTTGAACGGTGTAGTCAAGTTAAAAAATTTTTTCAGTGTATTATATAATTTATATTTAAAATATCTCGTAGCTCTTTTATAACATTTTCTATTCCATATTTGAAATATGTTTGTTAATTAAATTAACGATGTAATTTTTTCTCTATTCAATTCGTATATTGCATAATTTATTGCAATTTTATTTCTTTCCTTTAAACTTTTTTTCAGTGTTTCGTTTCGCAAGGAATTATTTAAGAATTGTTTGTTATATGTTTTTATAGAGTCTGCTGTCGATCGCCTATAATACCAGCGAGACCATCGTATTCGGCGGAATTATTGCGGGATAACAATGAAGACATACCTGGTGCGACGAATGTCTGGACCAATCCGAACGCTGCTCCGAGTCCGGTGTACTCCCTTTTCCAAGGTATGATTCCGAGTATATCTGAAAGATAATACATATAATAACAATAATAAAATATCAATAGAAGAAAAAAACATGCAGGCAAAAAAGAGGAAAAATAATATTATGAATATACGAGATATTATATATGTATAATATATATTTCATTTAGATAATCATGAAATTATTGTTATCTGAAAAGAATCTACACTCGTCTTTATTTCTTTTTACATAAAAAATATGCATTGAAATAAATCTAATTGTCAAAATATACTTTTGTCGTAGCATACGGACAGCGGATTATAAAATCGGCCGGTAGTATGCCCGAGAAAGTGTTGAAAAAGCTCGATAAACGCAGAATCGTTGGCAACACAATAGCCGAGGCTTACAAGGACAAAAGCAATCATCGCCGCACAATTCGTGGGACAACAGTAATCGACCCATGATCAGCCCAGAACAGAGAGTCTCTCCAATAGATATAATCAGTAAGTAACTTCAAACTTATCAGAATATAATTCGGTCCTTAAATTTAAAAAATAAATTTTTTTAATATTTTATATTTTCATAATTTTTAATTAATATTATTTTATTAATTATTAGAGAATTTAATTATTAATTATATTATTAAATTTATTATTACTCATCACTTTTATAAAAAAAATTATTTACAAAAATGATACAAATCATACCTATACAGTAACGTTTAGAAAAAGATTTGTGTAACTGTTTCTATCTATACTTATTTTGTTGTTACACATATTTGCACTTTTATATTTTATATATTATCAACTTATTCGTGAAATTATTTTTGAGAAAGTTTAAAAGTATTTTTTAAAAAAATGGTTGTGCTATGTTAAAAGATATTGCCTGAGTAAGTGTAAAAGTATGTAAGGAATTTCCATGAACGTATCAGAATGCATCAAACGTCGTACCTAAATGATCATGTGTCTCCAGATTTTAGCAATCAAATTTTTTAAACATAAAAATCTCCGATTAAATTTCATTTTAAATTTAAAATGTATTTTATTCTTCGTCTACAATTTTTATATCAAATAAATTCCATTTGGAAGACATTGCAAATTTATATTTAATTTGATTGTAACCATTAAAATTTGTATGCTATACAGAATTTGTATTCGTACGTATATAAATGCTAAACGATATAATCTCACTTCTGAACAATTTTACTTTAATCCCTCGAAATGTGAGACAAAGTTTCTCATCTCCAAAGGAGATTGTATTTCGAGGGAGACACTCCTGTATCACCGTCTAGGTACCACGTTTGACGCTTGTCATCCTTGTAAGCCCCTAATATCGAGCAAAACCGACTAAACTACCAAAGACACGCGCGGTGGCAGTCAAGGTCGAAGGACGACCTTGCGGCGCACCTCGACGGTTCCTGAGGAGAGCAAATCTCCGGCTTCGAAAACGGGCGACCATCAGCCCGCGCGGACGCCACCGTCGAGCAATCTAATCAGAGTTCGCCCGATTCGATCCTAAGCGGTCCTCTCGACGTGGGTGGAACGTCCGCCCCGGACAGCGCGGAGTCGGTCGCTCCACTGTTCCCTTTCCGCCGATCTCGCACTCACCTTTGCACGCCTCCGCGACCTCGGAAACGGAAGCGCAGTCCAACCGGAAGCCGCAGTCGCGGCCCAGCAACGAAGGGAAGAAACCGAAGAAAAGGACGATGAAGAGCGGCCGTTTGGGAGTCCGTCTCCGTTGACGGCGACGATGACGACGTGCGATTTTAAAACCGCGGAAAGAGCAAAAGACCTGGAAAAAGAAAAAGATGTAAAATATGATCTCTTATTCTCGATACACTATCTCGAAGGAACATTAAAGAACGAAACGTGTCCTTCTCGTTCTTTTTTTCTCGTTTTATTAATCTGCGAGAAAAGATCGAGTCAATTTTTATTTATTGACTAATCGTACAATTATCTAATTGTAACTGTAAGATACACTTCTACACACGCATGCTAGAAACATTTTTTTCTTCTTAGTTCCTACCATCCTCGTTGAAGACTTTGAAGAGAAATAAGAATTGTATACAAAACAAAAATACATAATATAATAGGTATAAATTAAAAGCTGTAACAATGGATGAATTAAAGTGGATTAAAGATAATTTTTTATATATGTATGTATATATACATGTTTTGAAATTATTCCTATATTTGTATATAAAATCGATCGTATTAATGTACATATTTATATTTCTTTAATATTTTTTTCGAATTTATTTCTTAAATTCAGATTTAATTTTTATGTTTTTAATATTCTTCCAAGCTTCAAGTCGCAATTTTTTATATTTTTTTCAATGTATAAAGCTCAATACTATTCGAAGGAAAGACATATTTATTGAGATTTTTACGAAAATCGGAATTTTGTGTTCATCACTTTGCAGTCACAATTTATCGTCATTCGAACGATAAAACAATATTCGCTAATTGTGCGTAAAGGTGCATTAATATTCTATAAACACTGAATTGATAAATATCTCGCGATTAATTCAAGATTAATTCAAGATACTCACGAGCGTCCCGCTTCTCGCCTTCCGCCGCAGTAACTCAATCCGTTTGAATTGTACGATACGTTTTCGGCGCGGAGTCGTTGCGCAACGCGGGCTCTGATTGGTCGCTCCGCGGCGAGCTCTGATTGGCCGGCGAGCGACGCCGCGCAAGCGCGCGCTTTTCAAACCTCTGTCAGGCTTCATAGTCTGCAAATATACGCAAGAATAAAAAATGCTACTAAAATATACTCATTCATCAAATTTCAGTTTAAAGAAATATCGTTTTTGCTTGTTGTTGTCCATACCTTTCTACATTTATGAAAAAATATCATGACTTGACACGAGATATTTTAACCTATATCTCTTTCTATATTTATAAAAAATACGTCATTGAAGCTTACGTGATTCTTTATCGGTTATTTCTACTTTCTGATGCAACGAGAAATGAATCATTCATGCGTAACTTAGTTCCATCTTTCATTAAAAACATACTTATTCCAAGAGAATTTGCTACCCTTCCGTTTTCGACTTTGTTCTAGAAGAAATGTTTCAAACAGAAACAGAGCTCTTGTAAACATATGTATTCTCTCAGCTTCTTTTTCTTTCATCCTTTCTTGTTTTTCCCTTCAGCCGTCAATTATACTAATACTAAAAAATATATATATTATATATTATAAATATACATAATATTATATATATATATCTATATATATATAATATATATATATAATATATATACTATAGATATATATATATATATATATTTTATATATATTATATCTATCTATATATTTTTATTATTGTTATACCCACATGTTATACCACAAAAAAATTCTGACGCAGCAACAAAAGGTTTCTCAAACCATAGAGCATGCAAAGTCCTTTTAGAGATAGAAGGACTACATGGGAATGCGATCTTCCTCGATAGGTTCGTTTCGAGCAGACTCGCGTCTGCGATTGGTGGACAATTTCAAGCCGCGGTGGCGCCATCTCCACACTTCTCATCCACGGCCCGAACCGAACTAACCCATCGACTCTGCGCATCTATACAAGCTCTCTGATTCGTGGCGCGTCCAATCGGAGTCGATCGTGAGTCGCGAGCGAGAGAAAGTCCGAGCGGAATACGTATACGTCTCGAGGGAAAATTAGCGAAACGGGCGCGAGAAACTCGTCGAAACCGTCGTTCGCGGCAGCGGATGAGAGAGGAACGCGAGGACGGCGGGGCGTGGAGTGCGGTAGCGTCGTCGTCGACGGGTCGGACGGTGCGTCGCGACGCGAGAATCTCGGCGGCGTTCGTCGGAGAGGGACAAAGGCGGTGATCTCCGAACGGACACGAAGGCGGGCTGCGGTGGCGGCGAAGGTGGTGCGAAGGAGGGGTGGTGGGAGCGACGACGACGGCGACGGCGGCGGCAGTGAGGTTGGTCGGTGCGAGGCTCGTCGGGTGCTCTGATACTTGTTCCAAGTCCGAGGTATCGTCGTCGCCGTCGGTACCAGGGTGCACCTAGGTTCCGAAGAGGTTCCAGATCCGTGTGACCTTGTGCGCGCGCGCGCGAAAGAAAGAGAGAGAGGGAGAACGAGAGAGAGGTGAGGAGTGAAAGAGAGAGAGAGAGTGATAGAGTGATAGAAGGGTGAGAAAGAGAAAGAGAGCGTGAGTGCACAATCCGGGAAACACTAGACGGCACCTAATCCGACGTCTCCGTGACCGTCCGTGAAGTCCTCCGATGTCTAGTGCTGAGGTGGCGGAGAGCTCCGTTGATCCCCCAGCCAAGAAGCGACGCGTTGGTGCTGCCAGCACGACGGGAGGAGTCGACGACGAGCCGACAACGACGAACGTGGCGGAGATAGACGTAGACATGGCGAAGAACGGATCCACGACGAGCTCCAGCAACAGCAGCGGTGGCGGAGGTGGAGGTGGTGGCGTCGGCGGCGCGGTGGCGGTTCCTCGTCCTCGAGCGGTGCCGGCCGAACGCCCACCGAGATCGACGAGGGCCTCTACTCGCGGCAGCTCTACGTCCTCGGGCACGACGCCATGCGCCGCATGGCGTCCTCGGACGTCCTCATCTCCGGCCTCGGCGGCCTCGGCTTAGAGATCGCCAAGAACGTCATCCTCGGCGGCGTCAAGTCCGTCACGCTGCACGACCACGAGTACATGTGCAGCCTGCGAGAACTGGGCTCGCAGTTCTATCTCACCGAGAACGATTTAGGTGAGGGAGCGGATTCTTCGCGCCAAATCTCGGAATCGTGGAAACACGTGAAGAGGATGAACGCGCGCTTTTTTTTATTATTTAGACACTCCATTGACTGGAGGAATTTAGGAGCGTTTCTTTTTCTCGTTGCGGAGTGATATGGATTGTTGAGAAGAAGATCATTCGAGAACCAGAGTTGATATTTTCCCCCCAAAAAAAAAAAGAGATACATATTAATCTTCTGTTCGTAGACTGCCTTGTTTTAACTGCACGTTTCTATTTTTTTTAATCAATTTAATGCACGATGAGACAGTTTATTTAATAAATTTGATGTAAATTAGATTTGATTCGGGATAAAAAAAAGAGATACATTAAGTTTTGAAAGATGCACAAGATGATACTTTTATGTACACAAAGAAACTTGACATATCGAGTATTAAATAGTATATTTTGGAATTAAAATTAAATTTAGAACAGAAAAATATTTTTATTTATATAATTTCAGTTATATCCATTGCATATAGTGATGAATGTAAGATAAATATTTTTTCATACATATAAAACATTAAAAATTTGGATTTTTTAATGGCTTCGAATTTTTAATTACAAGCAAATATATTTCATAAATAAACATAAATTAAGCTGTAACGATGCTTTTAATGAGTTGAAATAAATTAAATGCATACTTTAAAAAGATACATACTTTAACATATTTTACAGAGTGCAAAGGGAAAAAATTGTAACAAATTGTATAGAGATGTGCAGCTGAACGAAGCAGAGTCTGTAATTGTACCTAAAATATTTTATATGCATAAATATTTTTCTATCAATAATCGGATATCAGAATTCTTTTGTCAAATAAATTTTATGAGCATAATATCAGAGATCTACTTCTGGTTTGGATGATAAACTCACACAATCTGAAAGGATAATCTCCAGAACGATAAAAATTAATTAAATCAAGATAAGACACAATTGCTACTATTAGGCAAATTATAATTCTACTACAACAAAATTGCCATTATCTTCAATATTTGCACAAAATACCATAAAATACATGCACACATTAGTGCAAGTCATCATGAAAAGGTTGTCTTGCAAAATATTGCTTAAACTATCTGATGACATGTTCCTTGTTTTTGCTGTCTTAATTAAAAGATATCTACAGAATGTGTGATAAAAAAAGATTTTGAACATTATACATTAAATATATCAAGTACAATCAATGTCATTTACTCAATATTAATTCATTAAATTAATATAAAATTATATTGCTATGAAATATAGAGCCCATGTACAAAATATAGAATTAAGAAATAGTTAAACTATGTTTATATAATTTATAGATAAACAATAATAATGTTATGTCAATATTGTTATAACAAAAAGATAAAAAAGTATTTTTTGTTAACTAGGAATTTCACTTATATGACGTTAACAGTCAAAGTATATGTATATTTTATTTAATTATAGTGTATTAATAGTTGTTAATATTAATGAAATTATAAATAGTTTAAAAATTAATGAGAATAATAATTTAAAACTAGTTTTAACAATTGTAAATATTAAATTATTAGAATTATTCTAATTTTTAAATTGCAGTAATTACTAGAGTAATTAAAATGGATAAAAAAGAATCGGACATGCTATAACAATTTATATAATCTATATTAATGCTAAATTAATGCTAAATTAATGCTAACTAAATTTAAATAATCTATAATATATAATTATATATTTAAAAAATTTATATAATTAAATTTTTCAAACTGACAGGTAAAAATCGCGCGGCCGCGTGCTGTCAACGTCTGTCGGAGCTGAACAACTACGTGCCTACTCGCCATTATTCCGGCGACCTGACCGAGGCGTACCTCCAACAGTTCAAAGTCGTGGTGCTGACAGAAACTTCGCTGGCCGAGCAACTGCGCATCTCGCGGATCACTCGCGCCAACGGAATTGCTCTCATAATCGCCGACACTCGTGGCCTCTTCTCTCAGGTGTTCTGTGACTTTGGCGACTCTTTCACGGTTGTGGACACGAATGGAGAACCGCCGGTGAGCGCGATGGTCGCCAGCATCTCCCGCGACAGTGAGGGTGTCGTCACTTGTCTGGATGACACTCGTCACGGCATGGAAGACGGTGACTACGTGACCTTCTCCGAAGTGCAGGGTATGGTCGAACTGAATGGTTGTGAGCCGATCAAGATCAAAGTGCTGGGACCGTATACGTTCAGCATCGGCGAAACTTCAAGGTGAGGCGTGTGTAGATGTATTTATTATTTTTACAAATTTATTATTTAATTGTTCAATCAAAAGGGAACAGAATTATTCGATTATATAAAAATATTTTACATTTTCTCTCTTTTCAACTTTAACAAATATTATCAAAATGTAAATCATATTTGTATTCTTAATATTTTGATCAAGCTTTACACTCTGTTAATACTTTTTTTTTTCTGTAAGTAATAATTAATGTATTATAATATAATACTATCACAATATTCATATATTATTTTCAAGATTTTATATTTTATTTATTTCTACTTAACAAGATAGACAATCTAATTAGACCAAACAAATCTTCAGGTTCTCCGAATATTTGCGTGGCGGTATCGTGACTCAGGTCAAGATGCCCAAGATTTTACACTTCGCATCGATGGAGACGGCCCTGAAAAAACCCGAGTTCCTCGTCACAGACTTCGGTAAATTTGATTATCCGGAACAACTGCATCTGGCCTTTTTGACACTGCATCAGTACAAGGAAAATAAATGTGCGCTGCCGCGATCATGGAATCAGGAAGATGCCGACGAGTTTGTCTCTCTAGCCGAGAATATCAAAGACAAATATGGTTTCGACACTGAGATCAATGGTGAATTGCTGCGCACGTTCGCCAAGATATCCGCCGGTAATCTCAACCCCATGAACGCTACGATTGGCGGTATTGTTGCCCAGGAAGTGATGAAAGCCTGTTCCGGCAAGTTCCATCCCATATATCAATGGTTGTATTTCGACGCCATCGAATGTCTGCCCGCCGATTGTTCGGAACTCACCGAGAAGGAGTGCGCTCCCATCGGGTCCCGTTATGACTCTCAGGTATAGAATTGCACGATAGGATATTCGATTAAAGTTTTTTCTTCTCAAATACAATTTTAAACAATTTTAATAAAGTTGCATGTTAAATAAATTCAATAATCGAGATTCAAATAGTTTGTAAAACCGAAATATCAAACACTTTAGATATCTTCGATAATTATTAATTCAATCATGTTGCTCTTTCAGGTGGCAGTCTTTGGCAAAAAATTCCAGCATCAACTCGGTGATTTGAAATACTTTGTGGTAGGTGCTGGCGCGATCGGTTGCGAATTGCTGAAGAATTTTGCGATGATCGGCGTGGGCGCGGAAAAGGGTTGTGTCACGGTGACCGATATGGATCTGATCGAAAAGTCCAATTTGAATCGACAGTTCCTATTCAGACCATCGGATGTGCAGCAATCCAAGTCATCGACCGCGGCCAGAGTTATCAAAGGCATGAATCCGCACATGAATGTGGTCGCGCATGAGAATCGAGTATGTCCGGAGACGGAAAAGATCTACAACGACGATTTCTTCGAAGTACTGGACGGTGTGGCGAACGCGCTCGACAATGTAAATGCGCGCATCTACATGGATCGTCGTTGCGTATACTATCGTAAACCGCTATTAGAATCCGGTACCCTCGGCACCAAGGGCAACACCCAAGTAGTAGTGCCATTCCTGACCGAATCGTACAGCTCGTCGCAGGATCCGCCGGAGAAGAGCATCCCAATCTGTACACTCAAGAACTTTCCCAACGCCATCGAGCACACCTTGCAGTGGGCCCGCGATAGTTTCGAGGGACTGTTTCGTCAATCGGCGGAGAACGCGGCGCAGTACATCTCCGATCCACAATTCGTTGATCGGACGCTCAAGCTGCCCGGTGTGCAGCCCCTCGAAGTATTGGAATCTGTTAAAACGGCCTTGATCGACGAGAGACCGAGCACCTTTGCCGATTGTGTCGCTTGGGCTCGTTGTCACTGGCAGGAGCAGTACAGCAATCAAATTCGCCAACTACTGTTCAACTTCCCGCCGGATCAAGTGACCTCGAGCGGTCAGCCTTTTTGGTCCGGCCCGAAACGTTGCCCAGACCCATTGGTCTTCGATGTTAATGATCCCTTACACATGGACTACATCGTCGCCGGCGCCAATCTCAAGGCTAAAGTTTACGGAATACCCACAAATCGCGATAGAGAGGAGGTTGCCACAATTCTCGCCACCGTCAAAGTACCGGAATTTACGCCCAAATCCGGCGTGAAGATCGCTGAAACGGATTCGCAGGTAAGAAATAGATTAATTATTAATAGGATAAAATTATTTGATTTTTCGATACCAGAGTATTATTCAAAATTCATAAAATCTTGGAAATGAAGAATTTTTTAACGATTAGAATCAAACGAGAGGAGATTGAAAGGTCGGCTTTGTGTTCGCAGGTGCAAGTGTCAAACGGCAGCGGTAACATCGATCACGAGCGACTATCGCAGTTGCAGGAAGAATTGCCAAAATGGAGGAATTAAACGGCCTGGCGATATATCCACAGGATTTCGAAAAGGACGACGATACCAATTTCCATATAGACTTCATTGTTGCGGCGTCAAATTTGCGCGCGACCAACTACAAAATCTCTCCGGCTGATCGGCATAAGAGCAAACTGATTGCTGGCAAGATTATCCCAGCAATTGCCACCACTACCTCGGTGGTGGCAGGTCTCGTCTGTCTGGAGCTGTACAAGCTGACGCGCGGCGTTCGTGATTTGTCAGTGTACAAGAATGGCTTCGTGAACCTGGCGTTACCGTTCTTCGGTTTCAGCGAACCAATCGCTGCACCTAAGCTCAAGTACTATGACATCGAGTGGACGCTCTGGGACCGCTTCGAAGTGAAAGGCGAACTGACGCTCAAGGAGTTCCTCGACTATTTCAAGGAACGTCACAATCTCGAGGTGACCATGCTGTCGCAAGGTATCTGTATGCTGTATTCATTCTTCATGGCAAAACCCAAGTGTCAGGAGCGCATGGGACTGCTCATGTCGGAGGTGGTGAAGAAAGTGTCGAAGAAGAAGCTGGAGCCGCATGTGCGCGCACTCGTGTTTGAGTTATGTTGCAACGACGAGGACGGGAACGACGTGGAGGTACCGTACGTGCGCTATACTCTGCCTTGACTCGCCCGCGCAACCTCCGATCGCGCCAGATGATGTCTACTTAACTGAGACACTTTTAGCCGGCGTATATCTAGTGATTTCTACAAATTTCTATTTTACGACGATGTAATACACAGAGGAGACGTTACCGCTCCGTTGCCGTTCCTCGTCTATGAACATCTGTATGAGGCACTCTTTCTTTCTGTATTATTCATTTTTCTTTCTTTCTGCCGCGTCCGGACTTGTTCCTACCGCCAGCGCTTAGTAGTAGTGATTTCAAATAGCGAAGCGCAACATTTAATTATTTCTCTTTGGTTTAGCAAATAGAAGATTAGAGCCGAGCTTATGTCTCCAAGGCTTTTTCTTGATCAATCGTTACAAAAATATTGAATTGAGTATCAAAAACAAAAAGTCAGACCAATTGCTTTTCATTCATATATTTTTTCGAAATAAATATAGGATGAATGTTCTATTCCTATATTTTTCTATAAAATATTTTAGTTGTAGGATAAGTCCTTTTTTTAATTTGTGAAACATGTAGAGCAAATAAAAATATAATTTAAAAAGTTTGTTTTTCAATTGATTTTACTACGTATTACTTAATTGCGTAAATTTATTCATAAATCAAATAAATTATCAACAAATTTAAGATACATCATAAAAAATTGTATTGTAAAAATTTTTCATTTGATATTCACAGAAATGAAAATTTCTTATTTCTGATATCCTAATGCATGCAATTGCAATGACTAAGTTTTGAAGCCTCTCAATTCAGTTTCCTAGATAACTTTTATGTTCTCTTTGCTGTATAACTTACTTCAGTCAGTTTGCTCACAAAATGCTACAAAGCGTCACGATCAAATAAAGAAAAAAATAAGGGAAACCGCGATAACTAATAACTCCAATTTTACGAGAAAAAAATTCGAGTTCGATTTGCATAGAAAATCTTTAAGGAAATGATATGATACTCTTTTCTAGTTCATTACACACACATGTTATACTGTATAGAATCGGATGTAAATTAAACTAGAATAAAATGAGGATCTTCAGGCCGATATATATTATTAGCTCTTTAAACGTAATTTCAGATAGAGAGATGTGTGAATAATCAATATCGAATTTTTTGTGTGGACGCGGTATGCAATTTTGCTTTTTTCTTCTATTCTATTTCTTGCAAACAAATTGCTATATTTCAATAGCAAGGGAACAATTATTGAGAAATACACATTTTGTTCCTCTAATTTTTTAAATGTTTTCGCTAATCTGAGATTCAATATATGCGTGCAGTAAGAATTTATATAATTTGACGTCGTTTGTCTAATTTATCCGCTTCGCAACGTCTTTCTCGAATAATAATAATAATAATATTAAAAATAATAATAGTAATAATAACCTAATAATAATAATAATAATAATAGTAATAATAATGGATAAACTATTGGCTAAGCCTGGTTGTTGTTACGACGGATACACTGCATTTAAATTTATAAAAGATGTCTTTGAAGGAAAGAGCAGCTTCTAAAAAAAAGAAAATACAAAAATAAAATTGCATACACTCTAGACCAAGGGAGATAACAAACAAAACTGAAAAAAGGGAAAATATTTTGTTAATTTTAGGATATAATGCGGATATTTATTATGTATCATTTCTCTCGTCGATAGATAACAAATAGATGTGTTTGGATTTCAAGACGTATGAAGTATAATACTGTGAAAATAAAATGGGAAATATATCTCTGATGTGTATGTGCGTTTTGTTTTATAGTCACCTTTAAATTAGCATTTTCGCCAATAAAAATAAACAATATCCAGAGAGATGATTAACTTTTTTTCGAACGTGAAGAAATTGAAATCAATAAATTTCCGCGAGTTAATTTCTTTCTTCATATGATGAAAAAAAGTATAATTTATCATATTTTCCTCTTCTTTATCACTAATCGATATATTAATTATTTTTATGTCTATATTACATCATCGTGTCTGAAAAACTATAAGGAGATATATTTTTTTTAAATTTAACTTTTTAATTTAATCTCTCCTTGGCGCGTTTTTTCATATGTCAAAATGGGCAGATCACGTGACTGCGCAGACGACAGTTTTGCGCGTAAAAAAGCAAACGCAATGTCACACGATCGATTATCAAATGGAAAATTTCTTTTAAAAAATTTATTCGATAGGCAATTACGAATTTTATCGATAGGAAGCTTCTCTAGATAGTCGTAATCGATGACGCGTAATTTCTCCACGTTCATTGGCTGTTCGTTCTTTCAATAAAACCTATCGCACTTCGCGCGGCAACATAGCCTAACCTAACCTACCCTAACCTCCTCAGGGACGAATCACGAGAAATGCAATGCTACGCTTGCACTGTATCTATGCATGTAAAATCGTGATATGTGGATCGAGGCCGTTTTTTTTTGAGGTTATCATGCGCAACGCTTGTCACCCGTAAATAAAATTGGATATTGTCAAGCGTCACGCGATGGGAGCAGAACGCCTAATTTACGTTTGCTCCGTGATTTTGACGTTTTATCTCTCGGTCGTTCTTTGCGAAATTGAACCGCGTTATGATGAGAAACTTCAACTATCCGCGACGTCGACGGTGAGTTCTCTCTCGATAAACTTTCACATCTTTTTAATTGTAATCTATTAAAAAAAAATTCTTGTAAAAAAACTCTATTTAATTAAAAGAAAAACGTTAAAGAAAGTTTTTTGATACGTTCAACTCTTCTGCTAAAAATCTAAAGGAAAACATGAGGGAGCCTACGGCACACGGTACGATTAATCGTATTTTTCTGACTTATCGGATTATTCTGACCGGAAAATGACGTTTTTGATCAGTTTCTAATCATAATTCTGTCGATAATATACATATTTGTAGTTTTTGTATTTATTTTACTATTATTTTTATTTTTTGTATTTATTTTACTATTATTTTTATTTTTTGTATTTCTGACGTCTTTTTTGCGTAATTTCGTCTGCAGCTGTGCCGTAGGCTTAAGAAAGTTCTTAAGAGTCCCTCTTCAAACGTTCTAAAAAATCTTTCAAAAAAATACCTAAAGTTATATAAATATTTTAATTCTAAAGAAGCTCCCTGTATTTCAAATTCAAATCCTTGTTTTAAATTGTAAATTTTTTTTAGAAATTGCCGGAGTCCTCCTCCGAGAAGCCGCAGGACAGATTGGGCTTTTTACATGCCTTCGTAGCATCTTTGTCGGTGATTGTGGTATCGGAGCTGGGTGACAAGACATTCTTTATTGCCGCTATAATGGCAATGAAACATCCAAGATTGACTGTATTCGCTGGAGCGATAAGTGCTCTTGCACTAATGACTATTCTATCAGGTATTATTACATAAAAGTCAACATATCTGCTAACAGTTTTATGGATTTTAATAGCTTTGCATATAGAAATATTTTTTTGAAAATTTAATCTTTATAACAATTTAAAGTATAATAATAATAATAATGTAAAATAACTTACGTGTCTAAATATATTTTGTTGTTTGAAGCGAGATATAATTGTGATGTTTTGACACAGTGAACTTTGAGTTGTATTTTACTTTCAGTGGTGTTTGGATATGCAGCCACGATTATTCCTCGTGCATATACCTATTACATTTCCACTCTTCTCTTTGCTCTATTCGGATTAAAAATGTTACGAGATGGATACTACATGTCGCCAACGGAAGCACAGGAAGAATTGGAAGAAGTTCAATCTGATCTAAGAAAAAGAGATGATGAGGTAAACTTTTCTCATTTGTCCACATTTTGTTCATAATCTTTTTTTCTTTATAATTTCTTTCAATTATAACAAATATTAATCTAATAAAAATATTTCATTGAAAGAATTACTTACGAGTGTAATAAAAAAAAGTTTGTTTTAAACAATGCCTTCAATGATTTTGCGAAAAATTGAATTTTGAGATGTGGAATTGCTCAGTAAGGCATAATGTGCAAGATACTTGCGCTGTCCTGTCTAGACAAGATTCTGAAATTGGATTATGATAATGTGTGAATAATCTTAAACGGTCATCCCTTTCAGTACGAAAAGGAAACAGCGAGTACGTTAGTCCAGGATCCCGAAACTGGGGTAATACGAAAAACAACTAAAAGCAGTGCGCTCATGCTGCTTTCGAGGATATTCTTCCAAGCGTTTACTCTTACTTTCCTTGCGGAATGGGGTGATCGTTCTCAACTAACAACCATCATCCTCGCAGCAAGAGAGGTATTTTTATGATTGCTGTAACATCTAGCATTTTTATATTTAATTAATGTTTAATTATTTTAGGATGTTTACGGAGTTATAATAGGTGGAATACTAGGTCATTCGTTTTGTACTGGTTTAGCAGTATTAGGAGGACGTATAATAGCTCAGAAAATATCAGTAAGAACAGGTAATATTAACAATATAAGATTGCCACCTTGAATGATTTAATTAGTAAATATAATACTTTCGATATTTTCAGTGACCATTATTGGTGGATTGGTATTCTTACTATTTGCTTTAACTGCACTCTTCATCAATCCTGTGGAAGACGTTTGAATATCTTCCTTAATTTGCAACTCCGAAGATTTTTACCAGTATTTTTATTTACTTTGTGAACTTTGTATATCGCATATATTGTATATTGTATAAGAACTTATTGTATATTTGTGTACAGTATAATTATAAATTTATCTTTACAGAATCAACACAAAATTAACTAGGAGTTGGCTAATTCCGGCCAGAGAACTGTTTTTTTAATATAAGTGATAAATACATTTACATACATATATATAGTTGTTTGTAAATATCGACAACTAGGAATGTCTTGGTTAAAAATGAAATATTGATGCACATATAAACGTGTAAAAACTTTGTAGGTATCAATTAGTGTCGAAAAACGAATGAGATCGTACATTTATATTAAAATTAAATTATTTTATTATATTATTTCATAATTATTAAAATGATACATTCTATACAAAACAAATAATTGTATTATATTTGAACGATAACTAATAATATACAAGGGCATTCAGAATGTGAAAACCGTAGTATAATAATACTTTAAATTTGCATACCTAATTTACCGGCTTAGATGTTGAAACACATTACTCAGTTGTACTTCATACTAATAATTTTATAGTTTTTATTATAGATCATTTTGTAAGATATTAAAGAGAAATAAGGTTTCATTATTTAGAGACAAAATGATGTAATATATATATATATATGTATAATAATACAAAAAAATGAGACTTGATCACGAAGCAGAAAGAATGTGAGATAGAAGGAATGTTCATTGAAACAATGGAACAAATAGAAAATTTATAGAGAATTTATAAATTATCAAAGCGCGCGATATCGACTATTTAAAACAGGTCGAATAAAAGGAAACTATATTTAAAGAAATCTATTTTAATTATATATTGTAAGAGAGACAAACTTATATCGAAATAAATAAATATAAAGATATTACACACACAAATATTAAATTGTTCCATGTGAAAATCATAGAGTAATATTAGAGTTTCTTAGTGTTTTTACAAATTTTTTTATATAACAAAAAATTGCAAAAAAAATGAAAACTTCAACAAAAATGTATGTTTTTTCTAATTTTCAAAATCCAACGTTTCATACATTTCCGATAACTCGATATATTACAACCAAACGAGAAAAAAAGTTGGCATTATATATCTTTCTCATTCCTCATGAGACATACATTTTACAGTTTTGTTGAATATCATTTTTATTAGTGCATGTATATACATGTTCTATTTACACTACAGAATATAAGTCTTCGGAAAAAGCGGTAAGTTTTCAAATATAGCAAGTATTCGAGTCGTATACTCGTAAGATTCAAATAGTAAAGCACTAATTTTTTATGTTATTAGCTACGTTCTTTTCTTTTTTTTTAGTTTTCGGGATCGTTAATATAGAAATAGTGGATACATTTTTCATCGTCGAGCCATAAAAATCTTTTAACTTAAAATTTTTTAGTCACAAGTATCATTACGACTGATTAATATAATAGAAGAAAAATTAATTACATTAGCATTAATAATTGTAATTTGTGCGCGTGTAACGTGTGTGCATGTGTATTTTTTGTTTTGTGTACAAATACTTTTGTAGTATAATTAATTTATATAATTTGTATGATTATTAGAATTTATCATTATGTGATTAAGATAAATAATTTAATTTATTATAAGTTAATTCGAAATGGACGATCAATTTGTGTAAAACTGTATTGTCAGTAAATACGTATGTAATTCATTAACTTGTGAGATTTAGTTTATTTATTTGTATTGGGATATTATTAAAATTTGCTCAAGACACCTTTTATAAATAAAATGATATCGAAATATTGAAACTTGTAATCAAATATTTAACAATATCTTATCTCGAAAATTGACGATTCTAATTTTTCTAACTTTTGGATTTTTTTTGAGTTACGAGCTTTTTACGGCTTAACGTCGTGTTTCATTACATCGAGCGATCCTATCTCCATAAATACTGACAGGGATATGATAGAGTTTTGCGTCTCAATAATAAAACATAACGCTGTTGT